TTCTATAGGTTTGTAGAAGGCAATGTAATAAATATGGCTGTGTGAATATTTAATGTGAATATTTAATATTTAAAGTGACAAACTTGCAGGCTATCCAATGTAGCCTGCCCACAGGGCAGAGTCTGGCAAACCCCCCGTGGCGTACCAAATATGCCAAATACCAGTAACAATGATGGGTCTCATTCTCCTAAAGAGCCGTGAATATAATCTCAGGGCTAGGATGAAAGAGACGTTACTGGGGCCTGCTCGAGGCAATCGACGATTAACAGGATGATGAAATGAAAAATGAAAAAAAATGAATATTTAATAATGTAAGAAGTTTTCATTCCTTTCTTTGAAAAATAATTTTATTGTGCTATTAATAAACTATACATTACCTATTTAAGAAGAGATAACCCTTTCACGGGGCCTGAGATATATATAGTACAGTGGGGCAGGGTGCGGGTGCTTGCCTTGCATGGGCCCACTGGGTCACCCCTTAGAACCCCCTGGGCACTACCAGTAGTGATCCCTGAGTGCCACCGGGTGTGTCCCCAAAAGCAAAAGAAAGAAAAGGGGTTTTGTTGGCAATGAAGCAAGTAAGACTGGGAAGGATCCCCAGTGCAGACTGGAGAGGAGCTCCCAAGAGAGGCGCTGGGGTGTGGGTGCAGCCGCCACAGCGAGCCTGCACAGCTCACACTCACGCCGACAGCTTCCCCGAAACATGCTTCTGGGGAGCTGAGCAGACGCCCCGAGGCTCAGTCTGAAAATCCCGCCGGGCTGTTTGTCAGCAGGGGTTGGAGAGCCAGGTGCCCGCAGAGGACGCACAGGGCGCTGACTGGGGACCCTGGAGGGTCCCGCTGTTTCTGTGTGGCTGGAGGAGTAGGAAGCATGAGAAAGTGCAGAGCAACGTTACTCTCGCAACAAACAGGCTTTATTTGGGGGAGATGGGGGGGGCGAGGGGGTAAACAACAAGTAGTGCGCGGTAGCTAGCAAATCCTGGAGAGAACCACGAGTCCTTTCCCGTAGAAACTCGGCCCGCCCCACACCGGAAGCGGAAATAGTTGCAAAGCCCCACGGGAACTGCAGGGCTTGTCGGGTCTGGTAGTTTTCCTAGTGCAGACAACCAGACTCTTTCCAGCTACCTGACCTTATGATATGTGCATACATACATGCCTCTCCCTGCATACATGCATGTATGTATGCAGTTTGTTTGGGGCCACACCCTACTGGATGTGTCACTTTCCGTGGGGGACTCAATTGACCCCATTTAAATCTGGGCTCAGGGGCCCCAGTGATAGTGGGTAGGGCACATGCCTTAAACACTGCCTGCCTAGGTTTGAGCCTCAGCATCCTGTGTGGTCCACCGAGCACCGCCAGGAGTGATCCAAGAGCTAGGAATAAACCTTGAGCATCGCCGGGTGTGGCCCTCAAACAAAAACCAATCCCCTCCCCCCAATAACTCAGATTCAATTGACCTCAATTATATTGAGTTTCTGACCCCATTTAAATAGGGTTTTGGGGAACCGGAGAGATAATGCAGCCAGTAGGGTGCTTGCATGTACATCTGGGCTGGATCTCCAGCACCACATATGCCCCCCTGAACCCTGCCAGGAGTGATCCCTGAGCACAGGGCCAGGAGTAAGTCTTGAGCATCACCCAGTGTGACCCAAATCCCTCCAAAAGTTAAAATCAAGTAAATAGGATTTCTGTGAATTCATGATTACTGGGGAGGAGGAATTGAACCCGGGTCGGCCGGGAGCAAGGCAAACGCCCTACCCACAGTGTTTGCCTTGCATTTGGCCAACTTGGGTTCGATTCCTCCACCCCTCTTCGAGAGCAGGGCAAGGTGCCCAGAGTATTTCGCCCGAATGGCAAAGCCTGGCAAGCTACCCCATGATGTGTTTGGTATGCCAAAAACAGTAACAACATGTCTCACAATGAAGATGTTACTGGTGCCCGCACGAGCAAATTGATGAACAACGGGAGGACAGGGCTCAGTGGAATTGAGGGACTGATATGCTAAGGTTTGGGGTTTGGTCTAGAGACACAAACAAATTGAATCTTCTATTTCCGAATGCACCAGCTGGGTGTAAAGTGCTGGACAGATAGACATTCCTCAAACCTGTTATTTCACCATTTCACCTGCTCAGAGATGACAAGGTTCTATCTGGAAGGGAAGGCTCAGGGAGGCAAAGGGGCTGGGCCAGGAAGGCCTGGGACAGAGTTTATCTTTATTGAACTGATGTTCTAATTCTTGTTTTTCTTTATGTTTTTTGGGCCACGGTGCTCAAGGCTTACTCCTGGCACCCAGCTCAGGGATCACTCTTGGGGTTCCGGGGACCATACTGATTCAGGAGTGGTGACGGCATGTGTCTGTTCGTACAGATTCCTAGGTTCTTCAATGTATAAAGAATGAAAATATTTTTGGGGAGCTAGAGTGTTAGTACAGCAGGAAGTGTGTGGCTCGCCAGGGTTTGATTCCTGGCATCACATCGTCCTCTGAGCACTGCCAGGAGTAATTCCTGAGCACAGAGCTGGGCGTAAGCCCTGAGCACCACCCAGTGTGGCCCCCAGAACAACAACAGTAACAAAAACAAAGAATGAAAATACTTGGTAATAAAGATGCTCAGTCAGAGTTGGAAAATAGAAAAGCTTATTGGAAAATAGAAGAGAAAGAAACTCCTCATGTAGGGAGGAACCTAGTATAGGACTAAGTTGAGTATGGTGTGTGTGTGTGTGTGTGTGTGTGTGTGTGTGTGTGTGTGTGTGTGTGTTTGTTTTAATAGGAAAAACTGGGTCTTGTGTTACTTATCAAAGCATTAAGGGAGTCCCATTAGTTTTCCAGAGATGTTTTGTTAATTTAGGGTCCATTTATATTGCTAAAATAAGATTACCTGGGTTCAAGCTCTGGCATCTGAGATAGAGAGAGAGAGAGAGAGAGAGATTAAAAAAATAAGATTACCATTTTGCATTCCCACTTAGACTGATAGAGACAGTGTGTTTAGACCTTTTAGGTTAGATATATGTATATATACACATCATTATAGGTTATATATTATACATAGGTTATATATATGTTGGTCACTTAATCACTTAACTTCCCGTTAGTCGTCGATTTGCTCGAGCGGGTGCCAGTAACGTCTCCATTTGTCCCTGTCGCGTGCTAGTGTAGCCCAATGGCATCTCTTCGCTCCGGGAACATGGAGGGCCTCAAACCGATCGTTCATGACCTTGACAAAGAAGTCTGACCGTTTGTGTTGACAAGGACACCGACGCCTCCAACACCTCTTTTATCGCATGTTCCGAGGAACAATTCTTCTCCAGTGTCGAAAACGGCATGGTGAGATTCGTGTCTTCTTGTCTCGGTCAGACCAATGATGTCGTACTTGATCATTCGCGCTTGTACCATCAGGTCCTCGATGGATGCATCTGATGCTAGCGTACGTGCATTGAAAGTACAGACGATCATTTTTGTCTTCCTTCGTTGTGGCAGCCTAGGTCGGCCTTGAGATTTTGTCGGCCTCTCCTTTCTCATCCTTCTCAGTGCTGCCATGTCGGTGAAGCCTTCAGGGTCAGGTGAATGAGACCAGTTGTAGTTACTGGTTTTGGCATATCGAATACACAGCGGTAATGTTGGTAATCATGAAAAATTAAATGTAGCTAATAAGTGAATTTGAAAATTAATATAATATCATTCCTTTGGAGATTTTGGAAAATCCTGTTTATCTGACTATACAAAAATTTAATAATTTATTATTTTTTAAAATATTTGTATAAGTGAAATAACATGTATTAAAGCTTTAGGGACAGTATCTCCTCATTGATTTGTTCTTCAATACTTGATAGACTTAAACGTGATTCTTTTCTTTTACTATCTATATTCCTTAGGGCATGATATAGCCCTAAGGCAAAATATAGCTCACGGGGTAACTTTAACTCACTTTTAGGTTATATTTTACCTCCAGATATCCCCTTTTGTCTCTTAGTCTCCTGGGAATTCAAGATCTGGGGCAGAATTTACGGTTTTGGTAAACTAAATTTGCCCAGTCTCAGAAAGAGCCCAGGAATTTGCAGGAATGCGTGAAATGTAAGATGAAGTCAGCTAACACGGAGCCGTAAGGGGAAACTGAGGCGTCCTCTTTCAACTTGGGATGCCGCGGGTCGAACCCGGGTCGGCCTTGTGCAAGGCGCGCACCCTCCCCGCTGTCCTGGTGCTCCGAGCTGGTCTCATTCTTGCTGCCAATAAACCCATCTCCGGCTCACATTACCCCCACGAGGGGAGACGTGGGGGTAATGTGAGCCGGGAATGGGTTGCCAGCGGGCTTCACCCTCTTTACCCCCACCCCAGGATCGGCGGGTGCAAAGGGCCCTGTCAGTCCCCCGGCACGGAGGGCTGGGCACGAGTGTCGCAGGGCTCTTCGGTTACGCGGTTGAATGCTCCCCGGATGCGGTTTCGCTCGGGTGAGGACGGTGAGGGTGGGAGTGGGCCGTCCCCGCCCGCACCAGGAGCTGCCAATTTGCAGCGCTTTCTGCAGGACCTCGCTGAGTTCCGGGCCGCTGTGGGGGTGCTCAAGGGACAGCGCCAGCCGGGACGCGCTGTAGCGCGCAGTGGAAGCCGCTTCCCTGGCAGAGTGCCTTGTGCACCCCCATCCTTTCTGGCTCCTCCGGCTCCGAGGGTGGGGAACACAGGCGCGGAGCCTCCCCTCCCCGCGCACGCCGCAGAAAGAACCCCCTTCCGCAGCAATTGTCTCCTCCGAGCTCAGCAGCTGGTCCCGGCCGCGCCCCCACGAGACGGACCATTTGGGCGCGGAGAGGGGGGACCGGGGAGGGGCCGCGTCGTGGTTTCTCTGGACACCGTCCCTGCGGCGACACCCTGGGTCCCGATAGGAGGAGAGAGGGGAGAGCTGAGTGTGGGGACTAGCCGGCCCAGGGCTGCAGCCCTCCACTGTCACTGTCGCGTGCGGGCTCCTGCGCCCTGCGCACCCCCCGATGTTGGTTCGCTCCGTGGAGCCGAGGAGGATCCGCCTCCGCGCCTGGTGCCAGCGTCCTCGAAGCTCCTGGTCCTCCTGTGTGGGCTCAGGCTTTGCTTGGCCGACAATGCTGCGATCCAGGACCATGGCTGTCGCGGTGCGGGTCGTTTATTGGTGAGCGCGACAATCCCAGGTTCCCTCCCCGTACCCCGGGCCGCGCGCGGAGCTGGGGCTGGGCTGGGATCGCCCCGGGTCGCCCTCGGTCTGGATAGGGATGCAGGGGTGGGGGTGGGGGTGGGGGTGGTGTTGAGGAGGGGGCGAAGAAGGGGTATTGATCCCTCGCCCCAGTTTGTGACTTCTCAGATGTCAAAGGTGAACCCGACACTCAGGGATGTCCGTGCGCCCCCCACCCAGCCACTGTCTGTAGAGCGGAACCTGGGGGTCAGTTTAGGAATGGGAGGGCCACCTCGGTTACCTTGAGGCTTTCCTCCCCCACCCCCAGTTTGATTAGCTTTCGTGAGATGCGGAGGGTACTGAAGAAAGTTCTAGAAGGTTGGCACCAGCGGTCAGTTCAACAGACTGAGCGCGTGCGTTGCTTGCAGGAGGCCCGGCTGGTGGTCCACTTCTGGCACGGTCTGGTCCCTGGAGCATCACTGGCGTGGCTCAAAAACCAAATGCACAGACACACACCCACAGACACACACATAGACACACACACAGACACACACGGACACACACAGATATACACACACGCACCCCATTTTAGTGGCCAGAGAGATAGTAAAGCCAGGAGGGCCCTTCCCTTGCACGTGGCTCATCACATCAGGGTTCGATTCCGGGCATCCCATAAGATAAGGTCCCCTGGCATCCCATAAGGTTCCCCGATGCCCCTCCCCCAAACAAAAAAACAAAAGGAAAGTGCCTGCGGGCTTGGGGAGCATTTAGTGCTGAATGCTTGTTTTTTCCTAGCTCCCAGACTCTACTCCTGGGGTGCAGAAGGTTCTCATGGGGCTGTGGGTTTGCGGTCCCATCTGTGCCAATGCTCATGGGCAGCTCCATTTCATAGGCAAAGAAACTGAGGCTGCTGGGGCTGAAGCGATAGTACAGTGGGTAGAACATTTGCCTTGCACGCGGCTGACCCGGGTTCGATTCCTAGCATCCCATATGGTCCCCTGAGCACCGCCAGGAGTAATTCCTGAGTGCATGAGCCAGGAGTAACCCCTGTGCATTGATGGGTGTGACCCAAAAAGCAAAAAAAAAAAAAAAATGGGGTGGATGGGGGCGTTTTGGACCCTATAGCCCCGCATTCACTCACTCCACAGCGCCATCTGGGTGCCGCCACCTGGCCTGACTAGCCAGAATAGCCCTGGAATAGCCCTGTGGGATTCCTAGCTGGGAAGTAGGAGTGATGGTTTTCCCTGGGCCCCAGGGCACTGTGGGTGTGGAAATTAGGGGTGCTATCTGCTGTACTAATGAGATTCCTTCCTTCCCTCCTCCCTCCTTCTTCATACTTGGGGATTCCCCTGTTCATCTCGCTGGGTCCTTTCCCTGTTCTCCGTGTTTCTTTTTGGGGTGTCTACCTCTTGCACCATCCCACTTCTTTGGTCCTCTCCGTGGGTCCCACTGGCCAACCCCTCATCAGTGGAGCTTGAGGCTACAAGTCCAAGGTAAGCGGAGAGGCTGGGTGGGGGGGCCACGGTGTGGACCCCACTGACTCGGGTGTTGACCCCCCATCTCCCCTTTTTACAGTATCTTCAGCTCAAGAAGAAGTTGGAAGATGAATTCCCCGGCTGCGTGGATGTGGTGCGCCCTGGGCCAGGGCGGGGCTCCCCAAAGGGCAGGGGGGTGGTTTGGGGGGCAGCCTCGCCTTTCAGCCCTGTTCTCCCTCCCAGGAAAGGGACAAACAGCCCCTCCAACACCTCTTCCTCCCTTTAGTGTGGCGAGGGGACACCCCAGGTCACCGGGTTCTTTGAAGTGATGGTAGCTGGGAAGCTGGTTCATTCTAAGAAGGTTTGTTCATCTGCTGGTCCATGTGTCTGTCTGTCTGTCCGTTTGTCTGGGCCCCCGGAGCTGGTTGGTGGGGTGTGGCTGATGTTGGTGCTTGGTCCCGCCCAGCGCCCCCTTCTGTGTTGTTTGCAGAGAGGTGATGGCTATGTGGACTCGGAGAGCAAGTATGTGAGGCTGGTGTCCGCCATCAAAACCGCCTTGGCTCAGGCCTGAAGGTTCCACGGGCCAGGTGAGGGGGGCCCAGCCCCTCAGCTGAACTGATACCCAATCCCTAGAAGCCCCTGCTAATTCCTCACAGCTCTGCTCCCCCATTCTGAAGGCCCCTATTCTTGTCAGGGTCCTAAAGGCTGCTATAGGGTACGCAGGCAGAAGGGGGTTTCACAGGGGCTGGAGTGATAATTCAGTGGAGAGAGCATTTGCCTTGCACTCGACTGACCCGGGTTCAATCCGCAGCACCCCATATGGTCCCCTGAGCACATTCAGGAATGATCCCTGAGCACAGAGCCAAGAGTAACCGCTGAGTATTTTCAGGTAACTCCCCAAACAAAAAACAAAAACCTGAAGTGGTGTTCATCAATAAAGTGTCTGGCTCTGCATCTGAGGTGGGGGTGGCTTTTCTCAGTATTCACTCTGAGCGACCTAGAACCATGTTCTTACAGGGTCTGCTCTTTGAGCAGTTATATCCAGAACCTTCCAGAACCTTCCAGAATGAAAGCCATTCCCTAAGTATTCTCTGAGAAACCCAACACCTGCTGAGACTGATTTTCAACTTTTCCGCCTTGGAGATGATCCCTAAAGCTCTCTCCGCTAGAGCAGGACCCCTTTCCTAGCCCAGGCCAGAATCCCGTGTGGTTCCTGACACTTCCTGCTGTATACCTGCTCCCAGTCTTGGTCCTAACTCATTCAGCCAGCCTGCTGACAGGCCTTTTGGAATCTCCTGGGGGCCCTTTAGTGGAGCCGTGAGAACATACAAAAATTGTTTTGATTTTGGGTTATACCTGGCAATACTCAGGGGTGACTCCTGGCTCTGTATTCAGGAATTTCTCCTGGTGGGGCTCGGAGGACCCTGTGGGGTGCTGGGTATAGAGCCTGGATTGGCTGCATGCAAAGCAAGCGCCCTATCTGCTGTACAATTGTAGCCTGCTGTAAACAGTGTGACTGGTGGTCTAGAATGAAGCCCCTTAGCCATGCCCCATCAATCCTCCTTGCAAAATGGGCCCTTGAGTAATTGATTGATTGATGATTTATTTATCTTGGGGGCCACACCTAATGGTGTTTAGAGCTTACTCCTGGCTCTGCACTCAAGAATCACTCCTGGCAGTGCTCGGGGGACCTTATGGGGTTCCGGGGATCGAACCCCAGGTTAGCCACCTGGGCAAGCGCCCTGTCTGCTATACTGTTCCTCTGACCCTGATTTATTTTTAATTTTATAATGTTTTCTTTTTGTGGGGCCAGGGATTGAACCCAGGCCTCACACATGCAAGGTGAGTGCTCAGTGGCTGAGCTGCATCCCTGCCCCCCCCTAAGCACTTTTATTTCTTCAGCTACCCCCATTGATGAATTCCACAGTTGTGGAAGGAAGGGTGCAGGCAGGTCCAGAATACCTCCCGTGTCCCTTTCACAGAGAATGTGGGCAGAACCATTCTCCCAGCAAGGACCATCATGCCCCGTGCCAGAACCTTCCCCGAGGACCCCACTGATCCTCGGAGTCCAGGGCCTGCAGGCTTTGGATCCATGGTCTGTGGCACTGTTTGAGAGGCTGACCTGAGTCACCAAGATCCCCTGGAACACATTCCTGGGGTGATCCATGACCCAGATTAACCAGGATGTTCTGAGTAGGCGGAGATGTGCATGAGTGGACAATGGGGGCCTGCTCTGCATGATGAGAGCTGAGGGACTGGCCAGGAGGTCCACCTTTGGTGGGACTGGAGCTATAGTACAGCAGGGAGGGTGTTTGCCATGTGCATGGCCAACCTGGTTCCGATCCCCAACATCCCATATGGTCCCCCGAGTATCACCAGGAGTGATCTGAGTGCAGAGCCAGGGGTGAGCCCTCAGCCACGTTGAGTATGGCCCCCAAACTAGAGAGGCCCCCCCTTCCCCAGGGCATTCTGAGCTAGTGTGAACCTGTAGGGGGTGTCAGTTCCATACCAGCTGCTGGCCTCTTTGTTGGGGTGGTATGTCCCGTGGACCCTACCCTGGAAGATGGGTGTTGGTCTCCCTCACTCACTGACCCCCATACCCTCTTTCCAGCCCCCCTCGGCAGACGCTCCATGAAAGGAAGGACTGAAATGTTCATCGGACACCTGGTCTTTCCCCGATGTCCCCGCGGCTGCTGAGTGGGGCGCCAAGATCGGAGCCCCTGGCCTTTGCCTTTGTGTGTGTGTGTGTGGGGGGGGGGTGTCCCCTGAGGGTCCATCCTGCATACTGGCCCTGTATCCTTCCCTCCTGCCTATCCCCCAGCTCTTCCTTGCCCTGTTATGTTTGGGTTGGCCCTGCTCTAGGTCTCCTTCCTGAAGGGAAGCCGAGGGAGGGCTCTGGGTGACTGTGACATGGATTCTGGCTGACCTTTCTGAACGGTTCAAATTCAATAAACATGGGATGGGGTCAACACCATGTGCCTGCGTCTGCCTGTGTCTTCTGCATCTACTGTGGTCTTCGAGCCTGCACCCTCCCACCTCGGACACCGGGTGTGCTAACCAGGTACCCAGGTATCAGGTATGCCAGCCAGCAGCTTTACTGACAAATTATGACAGTCTCCAGGGCCTGAAAGAGTCCAGCAGGTAGGGCGGCTAAGACCATGGTTGGATTGGTCCTTGAGCCCCTGCCAGGGGCCACTCCCAAATGCAAGGCCAGAGTTAACTCTGAGGGACTGGGTAGATAGTCCAGAGGGCATGGCATTTGCCTTGCACATGGTGATCCGGGTTCCATCCCCGACATTCCATATTCTTTGAGCACTATCAGGAGTGATCCCTGAGTGCAGAGCCAGGAGTGAGCCCTGAGCCATGGTATGATCCAAACACACACAAAAGAACAATTGAATGTGGCTCCCAAACCTGACCTTCCCAACTCTCCCTCAAATGAACAGAAAATGCACTCCTGACAGCTCCAGGGCAGGGGTGTGGGGATAGCGGAGCCTTGAATCGATCAACCCCAGGGTTTAAACATGTTCACTTTTTGCTGGAGAAATGCATCTGGGTAAACTACCGGAATCACCTCAGATTCACTTATGACTGATTCTGAATTAATTTTTGACCATCGAATCTTCAGAAGCCTGTTTGTTGGTGCCCAAGTTTTTACCACTTCTCCCCCTGCCCCTGCCCCCACCCCCCACCACCAATTAAAAGCTGGGATGGGGCTGATGGGGCAGGACCATACCACAGCTGGGAGGGGGTTGCCTTGTATGTGGCTAGCCCAGCTTTGATTTCCGGCATCCCTGAAAACTGCCAGGAGTGATCCCTGAACACAGAACCAGGAATCAGCCTTGAGCACTGCTGGGTGAGGACAAGAAACACACACACACACACACACACACACACACACACACACACACACACACACGATGGAGCCATAGGATAATAGAGTGGGTAGGGCTCTTTGCATGTAGCTGACCCGGTTTCATCCCTGGCACCGCAGAGGGTTCCCTGAGCACCCTGTTAGCACAGAGGGCTCCCTGCTGCGTACGTGGGCCACCACTTCTTCCCCTGGCCTGCGTGTCTTGTTCTACTCCTCTGTGGTTTGTGCCTTTCCCACTGCCCCCTTAGCCGATCTGGATACAGGAGGACTCAAATACTGATGCAGAGGTCCCTCTCCATTGCCTCATATTGAGGTCCTGGGGGGATAAGGCTTCAACCTTTTGGGGCACAGCAGGATACAGTCTGCGGTCAGGAGAGTGGGCCCAGGCCACTCGCTCTGCAACCAGCTCAGGGTTGGTGGTTACCCCAGCACCGCTGCTGGAGTCCCACTGCAAGTTAAGTTATTCAAGGTGCAACCCATACATGCTCCTTTGTCCTTTGCCTTCTGCACTCAGGTGAGGCAGGTGTGTGTGTGTGTGTGTGTGTGTGTGTGTGTGTTCCCACATGACAAAGGTGAGGGGGAGCATTTTCCTAGCTTTCATGCTCTTCACTGCTGTTAAATAAGCCACTTACAGCCGATCATTTAAAACACAGAAGACTTGGGGCCTGGAGCCATAGTGGAGCAGGTAGGATACTTGTCTTGCATGCAACTGGCCCCGATTCGATCCCAGACATCCCACATGAACCCCGCCAGGAGTAATCCCCTGAGTGCAGAGCCACTCATTGATCTGTGCACCATTGGGTATGGCCCACAAAGCAAACGAAACACTTTTTTTTTTGGGTCTAATCCATCCGGGGGGTTGGCCTAGGGTGAGTTATGCTTCACTGGAAATAAAATCAAACTGAAATCTGAGTGGATACTTTTTGGGGAACCACATCCAGTAGTGTTTGGGTTACTCCTGGTCTTGGCACTGCTCAGATGGACCTCTGAGTCACATCCCTGACTTCAAATCTTAGTAGACTTTACAGCACCTGCAAACCTCCGGAGCAAGAACTGAGGCACCCTATTGAATTGGGGGTGAGGTGACTTGGAAGGGTCTCATGATCCTGGGTAGAGGATGGAGGTACATTTGTGATAGGGCATAAAAGTTATGTGCATTAGAAATAATTATGAACCACATTGTGAACCACAGACTCTTAAATGAATTAAAAGTAAAGTGAGGCAAAACTTCTCAAGGGCACCTGTGTGTGGGCAACAAACTTTTCTGTTATGGAAAATCACATGGCAAGTCATGTCGACGGAGGGGACCATGAACTTGTGGTAGGTGAGATGGAGGAGGAATTGCATCATTTATTTCATGTGCTTGTGACACTCAGATGCTAGTGACCTTAACAGACTGAGATCTGGACTGCTGAACACACCTGTCATTGCAACGCAACGAGCAACCTCAAAAGGTCTATGATTGGGGTCAGAGTGATAGCACAGCGGGGAGAACATTTGCCTTGCATGTGGCTGATGGGGCTCGATCCCAGGCATCCCATGTTGTCCCCCAAGCACTGCCAGGAGTAACCCCTGAGCATTGCCAGTTGTGATCTCAAAAACAAACGAAACAGGTCTGTGATTTTCCTTGCACGTGGTTGACCCTGGTTTGATCCTTGGCACCCTATATGGTCCCCTGAGAACTACTGGGAGTGACCTCTGAACAGAGCCAGGAGTAAGCCCTGAACATCACCATGTGTGACTCAGAAAACACTCAGAACAAACATAATTTTGTTTCTACTGTAACACTGCTTAGACTGTGGAATCCCCCTTCCCCCCAAAAAGATGTTTTAATGTAACAGAAAAAGAGACATTTTAACAACTGCAAGGAGGTCTACTGATATATGGAGTTACACAGATCTTGCACACACAATCCCAAAGTTTGGTCAGGGTCCTTGTATGGTGACACCATATCCCACCATCAAGGAATCCAAACTGAAAGAAAATACAGGACAGGGGCATCTTTTATGTTGGGAGGATGATACAAAATTCAAGTTCTTTGACTGGAAGCAAAGATTGCGGAACAGCTCTGCTCTGAGTCACCTGCTGCTTCTGAGCACTCAGAGCTTCGGCACATGACCATGTGGTCTCCAAAACTTGAATTTTTTATGGGGGAGGCGGTGACCCATGGAGCCGTATCCGAGCATCTCCTTGTTCCTCCTCTGGGGGGTGACAAGGGAAGTTCCTGCCTGTTAATACGTTATATGTAGGCCCCGCCCACTCAGACATGCCCATCCACTGACGCAGACGGCACTTCTATGAAAGACCGCCCACAGCTGAGACGGTCCTCCTATGAGACCCGCCCACAATAAGAAAACCTAATGATAAACCCCGCCCACAGATAAGGCCCCACCCACCGACAAGCCACCCTTTCTGTTAGACCCGCCCACAGATGGAGCTCCGCCCACCAATAAGAAACCGCACGTTAGACCCCGCCCACAGAGAAGGCCCCGCCCACCTGGCAGACAACCCTTTGCCTAGACCCCGCCCATAAGCAAAGCCCCGCCCACGGGCACAGACTTGTTCCGGTGAGACCCTCCCTATTGTTAGCTCTGCCCACATTCTGGCTTTCTCGGGACTCCTAAGGCATGCCCCCCGCCTCCCTCGCCCCTGTTGCGTGCGTTTCTGACCCGAGGGTGTCAGGCACCGCGACCACATCTTCCTTTCGTGACTGAGCAGTTCCTGTGCTGGGTCACTGGCATTTGGAAGAGCTTTTAAAAAACCTGAGACCTTGTTCCCTTCCTGAGAGCTTGAGGGCAAAGGCATTCTGGGTCGGGGAGCCTCGTTTCACACTTTCTTTTCTTTCTCCCAACTCTCTTTGTCTCAGAGTTTCCATGTCTGTTGTTCTGCTGACGGCTCCTACCACCAGCGCCTCCTGTCACCTGTCACTTGCTTCCGCCCCCGCCCCCAGCTGTCCCCTTGATCGCTGCTGGTTGCCCGCGGGTGGGAGCTGACCCGGCTGGGCAGAGGAAACCGTAGCTCAGCACGACCAGCAGAGGGCGGCAGAGGCCGCCGTCTCGCAAAGGCTCGTTCTTCGAGAAAATTCAGTGTGTGCATTTGGATTTTGTTTAAAACGCAACAAAAAAAAAACCCAAACAACCAAGCAACGGAAAAAAAAGTGGGTCCGGAGCGATAGCGCAGCGGGGGGGAGGGCGCTTGCCTTGCACGCGGTCGGCCCGCGTTCAATCTTTGCCATCCCATAGGGTCCCACCTGAGCCTCCCAGGAGTGATCCCTGTGCATCGAACAAGGAGTAAGTGCTGAACTAACTCCAAACAAGCAACAACAGCAACAAAGCAAAAACAAGAAAGTGAAAATAAGAAACTAGAAATGGTCCGAGGTCGAGCTGATGGAACCAAGTGAATTGCTATCATCATATAGAATAACTTCCAGTTTTATCTTCACTTGGCCCCCACCTTCTCTGCCTCTCTCTGCCACCCTACGGGGAGTTATTTATTTTAGAATGGGAGGCCGTGTCCGACCCCATGGCGTGCTCCTGAGGGCAGATCCTCCCGGGTGCGCTTCTGTTGGACCCTCTCCACCTGGCTCCCGCCCTAATCCTGTTAATGCTCGGGTCAGCTGGTCCCGGGGTAATCCGCTTGGAGCCTTTGCTAAGTGGGACCCCGTCTTGTCAGGGTGGCCGCCAGGGGGTGCCAGGGAGCCCCCACCACCTCGGGAGGTCGACAGGCGGGATGGGAGGACCAAACTGAATTTTGTTATTGTTGTTTTGGGGGGCTTAGGAATCACCCCATCACTCTTAGCCACGCTGGGGTTCTGAGGACCTGGGAGTTAAAAACCAGGATTAGGAGATATGCTTTGTACCATATGCCCCCCCTGGACCACATCCTCTGACCTTACTTTTTTTTTTTTTTTTGCTTTTTGGGTCACACCCTGCGATACACAGGGGTTACTCCTGGCTCTGCACTCAGAAATTATTCCTTGCCGTCCTCGGGGGAGCATATGGGATGCTGGGATACGAACCTGGTCGGCCGCGTGCAAGGC